TTATTGATTCGCGTTTTAGTCCGTGGGTTTTATCCGCATCGATGGTTCCACCACATCAGAAAACCGCAAGAAGCTGTGCGACCAGTTCCAAACAAATCCCGAAGTGAAGCTCGCGCTACTCAGCATAACAGCCGCGTCAACGGGAATCACACTGACCGCCGCAAACATGGTCATTTTTGCTGAGCTGTTCTGGAATCCCGGTGTATGCCACGTTTTGCTTTTTTTACGGTTTTGGCATTACAATATTACAACGTCATTTTATTCCGCTTGTACACTGCGAGGCGTGGCGGGAAGGGGGAGGGTGTGCATGTGTTACCGTCCAAATCTGCACTCTAAGCGTTTTCAAGTTTATAGTTTTTAAATTCTGATTTATGGTTTACACCTTGTGTTGATTTTTAGTTGGATATCGATAGGTCAAGACAAGTTCTTGGCATTGTTATAAGACTCTTGGAATTATGGAATAAAGCACCGATCAAAGTAGTAACGCGCTTGTTTTTATGCTGTATGAAGAAACTGAAAATTCCGGATGTTTCGATTACCGCAAATTCTACTTTACAGAAAGATGAAGGATTTGAAGAACTACAAGAAGATCAGTTTGTTATCTACAAAGTTTTTATGAAGGTACTGACAAACAGATTTCAAGAAAAACCGAATGCTGCGCGGCCAAAGGAGCTAGCAAAATTAAAAAAATGAATTTAGTAGATAGATCATTTCCAGATGGTCAAGTAATGCAGACAAGCAAAGAATATCAAGTTCCTCTCTGCGATTTCGAGAGGTATTCGACTGTGCACATCCCTTGTGTACTGGGTTCCATGAGGATCCAGCGAATCGAGGAAAGATAACACCTCATCGCCATGATTTATAAAAACACAACTGCTATTGTGAAGCTTTACGAAAGAACAAATTCAAAATCGAAACAGGTGCCCGACAAGAAAATGCAAAAGCACTGAAGTTATTCACTGCAGTTTTTGGGAAGGTTCTCAAAACAACCCGTTGGAAAAATTCCAGGACTAAAAATAAATGTGCACTACTTAAGCCACCTGTAGTTTGCGGGCGATATTCTAATCCTCTGAAAGACGCCATAAACATTGCAATAAATAATCTAAGAGCTGAACGACGCCAACATCAAAGCAAGGTTGAAAATGAACCTGAACAAGACTAGATAATGCTTAAGAAATACATAACCCCGCTCAATCTTGAACTAAGCCTATCACGGACAATTCATCCCAGCAACGCTGAATATGAAATCAACAGAGAATTAATAATGGCATGGCGCATTTTTGGAAGACCAAAAATGCTCCTATCCGGGAAGCATTTCGATCAATGTGTAGTTCAAGTGCCAACGTATGGGTGCGAAATGTTTACTTTAAGCCCTTACTATTGGTAAACTGCAGACTACGCAATGTGTACGTTAGGAATAAGAAGAGATGGAAAGACGAATAAATGGGTAAGAGCACAAACAAGAGCCTTCGATGTCAAGTGCCTGAGTGAAGAAGTTCTGAGTGGCAAAGTTGAACTGACCATTGCTGGACCAAAGAGATACTAAACTAGATTCCAGGAAAAAGCAGGCAACCTGCAGGAAAACTTCCAGATCGATGGCTAAATTGATTCCTGAAAAATACTGTCTGATCTTGCGTACATTGCGTAACAGTTGCATTCTCCAGAAGTGACACTCCGTAAACTTTGTTTCTGTCTATCATTTGCCCGTACTTTCCATAGGCTTCATTTGTTTTAGACATTGCTGCAAGCTGAAGACCGGGCTCATCGTGTTGGGCAGCAAAGCTCAGTTTCTGTGGTTTACTTAGTAGCTAAAGGCACAGCGGATGATTTTCTGTGGTACTTAAATTTTATATTCTACCTTTGCAGCAGTGCCTACATTTGCCTTTAGGACAATGGTCAAAAAGAAGCTGACCGTTTTAAACACCGGAGGCCTCAGCGGGGGCAACTTAGAAGTGGATGAACAGTCGGAGTTGAGCGGCAGAGCAGAGGAAAAATTAGAGGTATGATTCGACAGGAGCGTTGGTTTCGGTAACAGAGAGAAATTAGGTTAACTCATTTTGGCTTTGTGAAATGTATTCACGTACATTCAGTTATAATCGGTCTTCACCGTTGATTTTTAAATGAAAGTTCGTGTACTCCATGAACGTGTTAAGCACCTCAAAATGCTGGGTCACGCATTAACAGTTGGACACGTTGAGATATTCAAAGGATCTCGAGAGGAAAAATAGTTTAAAACAGTTAAGCAACGACGGTACCATGGATGGTTAGAAACTGAGACATCTTCTGAATCCCTGTTAACAGAAAGAAGAAGAAGAAAACTGCTCATTCGACATTTCGACCGAACTGGCAGCAGTCATCATCACTGGCAAATCACTGACTGGTGGCAAATATGGCCCATTATCAATCTGAAGTACCATTTCTAACGGTCAGACAAATCTGGGTTATAGTGCTGTTCAAACTCAGTTACCCTGAGATATGATGACAAAGCAACAAGATGACTGCTTCACGTTGCAGAAAAGTCAAAGCCAGTGCACCCGTTACAATTTCTATTTCACTTGACTGTGAAGCGAAGAACTCCTTGATTGATGTCTTTATTTGTCGCGGTGTCCGCTGACTACCATGACACTGCTATTGTTAAAGTCATGACGGTTTTCTGTGACTTATTGGGGAGGTCAAAAATCATTCCAAATGACTCCTATGTACGGTTAAAAGGTTGTAACGATCGCTAGTCTAAGCAGTATAACAACGACCGCAGTTACACTACGTTCCTGCTCTCCGTGTTGGGACAAGGATCAAACTTCTTTTACAGCAGCATTCTTTATGTTGCATTAAAGCCTGTTTTTAAGTGGTATAATTTTCTCAAAAATACCTAGAACATGAGATAAATAAATTAATGCAACTCCTTCAAGATTAAATTTAACGGCATATTACACCACTCCCTTACTCCCCGCTGCGTGTGGAGAGGCGCATTTTAACAGGCCACGGATCTAGGGTATTTGAGCACCTGCAGTTCCGAATCCATCTCGCATCATTTTGTTCCCTAGAGCCACCTCGCTCTCAAGGTATAGAAATTGAGGAATTACAATCGCAACAGATTGTTGTGTCAAATTTGGAAGGTTTAAATACAAAATCGGTTAAATATTTCGCATATCCGTTTTTTAGAAATTTTTATGAGACGTCTGATTTCACTTCTGAGCATTCGGTCATTATGCAATAACAGAACCGTCTGTCGCATGCATTTCGTAATACTGATTAAGGCAGATTTTGTAATGCAGTGTTTGTTGAGATAACGATTTATGCCGT